TATTTAATTTTATTTGGATGAAATTCATGCATATAATAGGGCACCTGGATGGAGGGGATTTCCAGGTAGTAAATTGCAAAGCTGTGAAATGAGTTTGCTTCACCAGCGCTTTGTCACCAGGGAATAACTTGAAGCAAATTTCTGAGTAGTCCCAAAAAGGCAGTGTGGTGACAGCAAGGAGGGAAGTTGAATAGCAACATCCCGGAGATGAGGGCAGGAAGATGCCCTGAGCCATTTGCAGTAGAAAAATGTGTCTTACTAGTTACACTCTAATTCATGGATTTTCCGGAAAGAGGGAGGAAAAGCCTTTTACCCTCTTCTCCCCCTCACTTTAATACACAACCAGTTCTGCATAAATGAGATGAGTTTTTGTTTTCAGAAAGCAAAGCAGTCATCAGATCCCCTCAAAAATCAGAGGAGAAACGAGGGGAGAAGCGAAAAGCATCTGAGATGGATGACAATGGAAAAAAGGTACGGACAGCTGGAGAGCAACCACTTTGGGGTGTGAGGAAGCTGAGGCAGTTTCAATTGTCTGTTTGCTTTTGCCTTCCATCTAAGAAAGTCTTTGAAATCTTCCTATAGCAGCACAGTATAAAATGAAATGTAAAGGCAAAACCAGCAACAATAATTCCCTTTGTAAAGGAAGTGAATGGCTGCAGCTCTTCTTTCCTGTTGCAGAGCTGATGTAACTGGGTTTGTCATGCAAAAGGCCAACACTCTGTTACCCACCAACAATGTCCTGCTCCACAGAGTGGTGTGATTGCTGAGCAGCTATTCTTCCTGAGTGCTGCAGATAGAAGAGTTTAGAGCTGTAAAGGGAGAGAACTGTCCTTTCTAGCCCATTGTGCAGCAAATTGTAGGAGTGGATTAAGAATTGCTGAGCTATAATTTCCTGATAAGCCTGGAGTAGCTATTTTGATGTAAACAGCAAGCCCCCTCCCAGAGCGGTTATATTCTCCTACTTTAACTAAGAAGCATCAGCTTGTAAAGGCAAAGACATTAAGATTGTGTTTACTGGACCACATCGGCATCACCACTAAGGGGAGTAGTGGGGTGATAGTTCCCCGTAGCTGGGGCTGCACTGTTTAGCTGTAACATCTGGCTTTCTGAGGAACTGTATGAGTGTTGCTCTTGTGTATGATTTAATGATGGTCCAAAGAGCAATTTACAGTTATTAGGCATGGGATTAGAATAATAACCTTGGGAACTGTGAATGAACTTGTTCATGCCTCAAAGAATTTAGTGTAATTTCCAGACCAGCCTGATGGTTTTTTTCCAACCTATGCTTCTCATCTTCTTTCACAATGTGCAGATGCTGCTGGACATATTCACTGGTGTGAAGCTGTACCTATCGCCCTCTGTGAAGGACTTCGACAAAATCCGACGGTACTTCATAGCATATGATGGGGATCTTGTGCCGGAGTTTGACACAGCCTCAGCAACGCATGTTATAGGGGACATTGATGAGAATCCTGGTGCTAAGCGTGTGTCTCCCAACTGGATCTGGGAATGCATCCGGAAACGGAGACTGGTAGCCCCATGCTAGCAATGTGGGGCAGCTGACCAGTCTTGACACCAGAATTCCCTGAAGGGAACAGCTGAGAACTAGGTAGGTGGAAGAAATGGTGAGATTCCTCTGTGGAGACATGGATAGGAATAAAATGCCTAAGTCCATCAGAGGTAGTTATAAAGGTCCGTAACACCCATATGGAATTAATTAAAACAACTCTCTGAAGAAGTGTCACTGGTGAATCCATTTTTCTGCCCATAATGTAGACCACTGCACTTATCTAAGTGCTGGTTTAGTCTCCTTGGGTTTTTAAAGTTTGGGTATTTTTATAGATAAAGAAATAAAACTGAAGCAGTTTCTCCTTTGCTGTCAGGACTTATTTTCCAAAGGTTATTCTCTGCCTGGACAGGAAAACAGACCACCAAATATGTGAAACTATTGGCTGTATTGCCAGGATCATTTTGCTGCATGGCTACAGTTTAGGTGAGACACCTGTCCTTCTGGTTTGACTTTCCTTCCCTGTCTTTTCACATTCAGCACAGGTCCGTATCCAGTCGCAGTTTACACCTCTGCCACAGGCTTCATATTAAAACTAAGACACCAAATAAGCTTCTGTTACAGGAACTGCTGTAGCGTTATCCAAGCATCCTCATTTGTTTTTCTAGACTGTGTTGCTCATGTTTCAACAAGCAAAAGCTGAGAAAAGGAACTCTACCATCTGGATCTCTTAGGATAGTTGAGAGATCTCCTCATCTGAAGCTACTATTGCAAGTACTTGAAAATTAATAAAATAAGGATGATAAGGTTTAGAAATAGAAGTTCATTTTAACTGTTTTGCAAATGACAGTGTGCATTTGCTGAATAACTCTGCACGAGTAGCCTGAGTGCACATGTACATCATGAAAGGAAAAGTGAGTTGACCGGTTTTGTCTCAAGGGGATGGAGTGTGCTCTCCCCTTTGTAATCTTCACTAACTTTGTAGCAGTACAATCTTAACTTGGCTTTTTCAGTTAACTTTTTTCCTTCAACCTCTTCTGTGCTTGTACCCCACCCACTCATGCTATGTAAGCATCTGGTATCCCAAGCCTCTTCTGGTTGAGGTTGAGAAGTAGCTGTTAGGATCTCTGCTTTCTCCTAGCCTGTTGGTAACAGAGTCAGAAAACAAGGTTAATTAAATCACATTTCAACTTTATTATAAAATTATAAACCAAACTTCTGTACCAAAACTAGTAAGTTTAACCATCATAGTACCAAGAGGATTTAATAGAGAATAACATGCCCTTTCATGTAGAATATTAACTTTTAAAATATTTAAACTATGTACAGTGTACATAAAGCACATAAATATTTCCATTTACTTTATTAGTTAAGATCATTATATTCCTTTGGATCATTAATAATTTTCTTTCAGATTTTGATTTTCCTTTAAAAATAACTCATATCCATAAGTAGAGAATCCATTTTTGCAAGGGAAACACTGTAGTCAGGAAAAAGAGAAAAAAAAGAAAACCAGAGTGCTCCCTTCAGAAAGCACGTTTCAGAGTCATATGGCAGGTGTATCTTCTCATTCCTAACATTTCAGGCATTGATCTGTGACTTGATTTATCTGCTGTAGAAAATAAGCCTACCCTCTACAAGTAAAAGTCCATCTGCCCACAGGGGAATAATCTGCTTCCTGCTAAATTCCCCCAACCCTGAGTTTACTGAAAAAATATGACAACATCAATTTTCACAGTGAATTTACTAAATGAGGCTGTTCAGCACTTTGCATGTGTTTCTGTACCTCCTGAAGAGTAAATACAGTTACTGCTTACCTGCAGTTTGGGGTTTTTTTGACATGATGCATTGAATTGTACCAGTACTCTTTTTCCTGGGGGAAGCTGTTAAACCTTAAGCCAAAGATTAGAGATCAACCTGAACAGGGAAATAGGTAAAACTCAGCATTTTTAGTTCAATAAACCTCAGCAGCTGTTGCACTTTCATGGAGTTCAGAGACCACCTCAATAGTGCAGATGTTCTGCTACCTACTGAGTGTCAGATTCTTCATCTTAAGTGCTTTATTGATTCCAGCTTGCAGAGTAGAGACCCTCCACTCCATGCCAGCTGAGAAACGAGTTGCTACTCAGGCAGTATTCCATGTTAAAAATTACACAAGTGTAATTTGCTGTTAACATATATTACTGCTTATTGCAAAAGTAGATGGCTTTCGTGATCACTTCTGTAACTGCACTTCCACTACTCCAGAAGCTGTAAGTGGACACTTGTTTTTCATGCAGGGCCTCTGCTGGCAGCCATGCAGAGATGCAGTTTGAACACTGATCACCCAGCCCCATAAAGGGGAAAGACAGAAAAAAACCCGCAGAAGGTACTCGACATCACAAATGACTTGAAGTGAGTATACAATTCCACCGTGGCTGAAAACTTAAGGCATGAAGATCATGAAACTGCTGTGTTACCAGCCAAATGGACCGAATGCTGGCAGGCCACTGAGGGGAAAATACACCAGTTACAATTTTCTCTAGAGAGTCTTGTAAATGAACATGCTGATTGGGCTTGTAGTTGTCGCTGTCAGACACAGAATCTCCTATCCCCCCCCACAAGCAGAAAGAGTACAAAATAAATTGCTGTTGGTAAGCAGTCTGAAAGTAACAGGACTGTAAAATGGAGCAAAGGGAAGGAGAGGGGGGAAGCTGATTAGTAAACAGAAGCGTCTGCAATGATGATCGCTTCTCTCATTCATTCAAGGGAGATGATTGTTTGCTTTCTTTCACGTCTCCCCTCTGAAAAGAAAAAGTCATCGGTAGTTAAATATGATTGTGTAGCAATGGAATCCTTACTACTTTTTAGCTGTGTGTTTTCCTCACTAAAGACTCAAGCAGCTTCATAGCTCCTTAATCAAGTGAAGTCAGTTCACTTTTCAAATGATTGCTGGCATATAGTGTAAAGAAGCCTGTGAAGTCAAAGGAATTAACAACAGCCAAACTACAAGTCTTTATCTCACTGGCATGTAAACAGAAAACCACCGCCACCACACAAGGTAAGGCTGTATGTTTCACAGTCTCACTCCCCTTACATTTTTCAATAATACAAAGTCCATCTTCAAATAAAATTGTACATTTTTTCAACAATTGCACTAGGCTAGAATTATGCTTATAGTGAATATGGAAATCGGAGGCAGTCTGCCTGTCCTGCAAGCATAAGAATTTAACATTGAATTTAACAAAACAAACCCAAAATCAAGAACAGGCACAGTAAAGTTTTAATCTTTGAAAATAAAGTTGTCAGTGGGTGTATAAGCCTAAGCAACAAAACAAATGTCACTTCTTGAGACCCCAGTCCTCTTGAATATTCAGGCAAAAACAGGAATCCTCTGAATGCGATGTTTGTGGTGGAAAGCCAAGCATCCATCCATCCTCAACGCTAGTGGATCAAAGTTATTCTAGAATGTAGGTGGTTAATTTCTGTGTCTGCTGCTGGCAATAAGCTCCAAGGAGTCCAGGCACTGTGGTGTAAAGCACTATAGTGGGAAGAGCACAGCCAGGCATGGCTCGAATAAGAACAATTTTCCCCAGGCTTCTTCCTTCCCTTACTTCTAGTGGAGTCTGTAAGCTAATCTCTGACCTATCTGTAGCTGTTTTGACCATTTCTCTAACAGCAGACGCTTTAAGGCACACCAGTCTTCCTTACACACATTTAGGACTTAAAGACATGGACAGCCCTTATCACATACTGCCTGCATATGGGACATTCGCTCATCCGCTTCCCGCACTTGGTGCACGTCACCATGTGGCCGCATTCTAGCAGGACACAGTCAATAGGTGCGTCCATGCAGATTTTGCAGAGGTTGTCCTCTGTGCCAGGGAGCCCAGCACCACCTGAGTAAACAAGAGACCACAGTTTGCATGAGACAAAAGAAAGGTATGTCGGTTTTGTGAGTTTGCTTTATCAAAGGGCTTCCCCTGGTGTACTTCTGCACGCTGAAGGTCTGAGAAAAAAAAAAGTCCCCTTTCATCTACACTGATGTGGGTATATCTGCTCCATCACCTGGCAAGGAGCAGAAAGTTTTAGCTTTTACACAGTAATTTCTGCACAATGAAAACAGAAATACCACTGTGATTCTTCACAATGAGAGGAATGAAGCAGCACAGGTCTCTTTTCCAAAGTAACAAGCAACAGGCTAAGAGAAAATGGCCTCAAGTTGCACCAGGGGAGGTTTAGATTGGATATTAGGAAAAACGTCTTTGCCAAAAGGGTTGTCAAGCACTGGAACAGGCTGCCCAGGGAAATGGTGGAGTCACCATCCCTGGAGTTATTTAAAAGACGTGTAGATGTGGCACTTAGGGACAGGGTTTAGTGGTGGACTTGGCAGTGTTAGGTTAAGGTTGGACTCAATGGCCTTAAAGGTGTTTTCCAACCTAAACAATTCTGTGATTAAGAATATCACTTACCAGTTTGATCATCAGTGTCAGAAACTGCAACACAAGAAGAGAAAATTATTTGGTGAGAATAAGAGAAGTTGAAAAAAAAATATAATGTACTCAAGCAGTTATTATTAAGCAGGAGATGAAAGCCTTGAGATTACTAAACCAAAACTGCTTTTTGCTGATCCCCACACAGGTTCAGGCTGAATCTCTGATCAAGATAGGTTGGTTAACTGGCAAGAAACTTTCTCTTTTACTGAGCTTGCACAATAGCTAATGCTTTACAAAGACAAGCAACTGTCTGAAGGGATGTCTGAATTTTTAAGACAGCCTTGGAATTTACACAGTATTTGGCTTCCTAGAACTACACTTTCAGTAACCCCTTGTGCCAGTTTCTTTGGTGTTACACAATCTCACCAATGTTGTTGAGCACAGCTAAGAGACAGGCACAGACAACACTGATTAACAGAAAAAAATAAATTCTGTCAAAAGCATGAGATACAGTGAAAGAAGAATATAAACCCAAAGCAGTTGCCTTAAATCTTTTATCATTCATAGCGGACAAAGCTTAGAGATGTGTGTAAGAAAATAATGCTCCTTTGGACAACACTGATCAACAAACCTATCTATGAAATCAAAGTGTTAAAATATGTTTCTCATGTAAATAATTTACAAGTATATGTCTTTTTTTAATGAATCACCTAGAACTGCAAACTGGCATCAGAAAGCCAGGCCAGATAGTTTATGCTCCTCTGTCACACTACTATCCTCTCATCAGTCAACTGTGCAGGCGCAGCAGGAGCGGGTAGTGCACAGGAGGAACGCTCTTGTGATCCCGAGGACAGAGTTAAATCACAGATAACCACAGCTCTTCAGCAACGGGAGCCACTGTCACGGAGCACGTGCCCGCTCTGAATCTCCTGGCTGCTTTTTGGTGGCATCTTCCAGCTCGGGCAGGGCATCTTCCTGCTCGCTTTGCCAGTCACCATGAGTCAATAGACAGGAGTTCACCCCAGTGCTTAAACAGCCGTCCGCCTACAGTTGCACAGCAGCTCTTTTATGGGTGGTGCAGTGACCAGCAATCTGCCACAGCTATACAGAATCCCAAGATGAAGGGCGCACAGTTCCCATTTGTTGCTACTACAGGGGAGTCACCCTCCAGAGCTACCATAATGCTCTCCTCTTAAACAACTACCAGTACTCGTGACTAGAATTTAGCTACTATCACTCTAACGTGCGTAACACTCCCTCCTTTCTCCTCAGTTGCACAAACAGAATTGTAAGATAAGTTCGATTTCCTTCTGCAACTGTTCGTAAAGAGGGAAAACCTGGAAAACAGGAACATGTTTGTAAAGTTTCTTACCTAGATGTTGAAGGTCTTTCTCTTTGTAAAGGCGAGTCACCCTCTCTAGCAGCTCCCACTTTTCACAGCAGCCTTTGTAGTTGACAAAGTTGCGAGCAAGAATTTCCTTCAGCTGTCGCACAGAGAGTGCATTGATGTCTCCAATGCTTGTTAGATCGGAAAGAGAAGCCTTCCTGCCCTGCACCAGGTTATCTTCCGAGTCAGTAGACTGAAAGGGAACAAAGAAGGAATGATACTTGCCCTCAACACCTAGCACTGCAATTTAAATCAACTTTCAACATGTGCACTGGCAGGAATTCATGTTTGGATGTGCATATAACTCTGATTACCCTGTGAATTCCCTCTCTTATCAGGAATGCAAGTCCTAGGATTGAAATAAATAATTTCTATTATTATAGGGTCCAAGTGACATCAGTTCTCTCTATACATGGAGGACAAGATGATGCTAAATAAAGGGGTTGGTTTGGTCTGCTGGTGGTCAGTCTGAATTACTGTTTAGCTGCTCATCTCTCTCCAGTAACGGTTCTGCAGTGTCAAATACGGCCTAGAAAACCTGGTATTCCTTGTCATCTAATTCCAGGACACACAAACCTGTGTCTCCTCTTCTGTTGGTGCTTCTGCTGCATTCTCAACGCCTGTCATACCAACTGGGCTTGGAGGCACATAACCATTTGCCTAGAAGAGGAAATAAAGGTTTCACCAACAGCATATCCCTGTGTCCAAAGGGAAATAAAACTCGATAGTTCAGCATAACTGCAAACCCTGCCCACTGGAAGGATGAACTGCAGCAAGGTAAAAGCGAGACACACTCACAAGGTATTTCCTGTGCGGCACTTACAAAAATAAATAAACTTTATAAACAAGTAAAACTTTTTGAAACTGAAATGCACCATCTGACCCTTTAAAGCCCCGCTTTATTTAAGCCCTGATAGAGTACTTATACAGTAAGATCTCATATGATGTTCTCATGAGGCTGGATCAGGAGGAGGCCAAATTTATACATGTATATGTGTGTGTGTATATATATATGTGCAATCCTTCGCTGCAGTGTTGCTGTGTGACATCACAACTCTGATGGCACATCGGCTGTCAGTGCAAGGCTCTGTATAAGACTCCTCTGTAGCACAGCTCAAAGTCTACAGGCCATCTTCAAAATAACCGCACAGAAGTGCCTCTGGTGGGTTCTGGATGGACAAATAGAAGATACTAAGTGAAGGACCAGTAGCTCAAAGCTGGAGAAAGACAAGGGGCAGTTGCTTTGAGCTTTTAAAAAAAATGAAAGTAACTGCAGTGCAATTCTAGCCGACTTGCCCTCAGCAGCTATCATTCCCCTCTGTTATTTTCCCTACTGACAAAGGAAACTGTAATGTTACCATCCTGCTTATCTAACTGGTAACTTGTTAATATTTACAAAGCAAAAGAATAACAATAATGATGAATGAGCCTGAACTGTAGCAGGATGTCATGCAAGCAGAGACAAGAAGCTGAAATGCATCGTGGGGCAGTAAGGGAAGACAACAGAGCTGAATTGGCTAGTAAAAATTGGAATGGCAATATCCAGAAAACCAGAGAATGAAAAGGCCTTGTAATGAGTTGTAAAAAACATCCTCCCAGGAAAACTCTTCTTTTTGTACTAGATATATCTGCCAAGAAAGCAGAAGGTACATACAGTTTCACAGCTCTGGTCCACGGGGAACTAAACACGCCTATTAACTTTGTAATAGGACTAGTAGCAGATGTCAAGCACTGAGTAAACTTCCCATACCAGATAGCAGAAAGACAAACAAAGCAATGTCAATAAAAAATAATTAAGGTCAAATGCCCTTGACAAGATTCGTCAGAACTGCAGGGTTCATCATAAACTGAAGACTTAACAACACTCAGATTTTGTCTACTATTAATCCAAGTGCGGAGGACACCAAAAACCTCACCCATCCCGTCAGTTTCTGTTCCAAAATTGCTTTAAACTGTGCTTGCTGTCTTGCACACCAATTCAATAACAATAACAACCATTTCATCTAAACACCTACATACAATTGTCAGAAAGTTGTCAACGTCAACACACAAGACAGATCTGTGCACCAACACAGACATGAAGTACCAAAGGAACTAGTGACAGGAGTATGTGGTCGCAATGGCAAGAGCACCAGAGGAAACACATCGCAAAATAGCGATGATGTTCTCAGAGGGAATGCGTAATATATTCAGCACAAATTAAATTCCACTAGTGTAGAAAGGAAATAGCACATCACAGTTGGTGACAGCGAGTCACAGTTTTACACAGCAAGGCAGTGTAAAATAACTCATCTTACTTCCCTAAGTATTCTGTAAGAAAGTGTGAGGTCCTCACTTCAAAATTAAAAACAAACCTGAGAGGAGCATGTATAAAACACAACTGAAGTATTTTGTCATCTGTTCTTAACAGAAGCCCTCCTTGCTTTTTAAGCAGGCATCTTTAATGTAAAACTTTTTTGGCACATTATCCACTTGTAAAACCTCATATAACATCTTAGCAGTTAATCCAAAAATAGAGATGAATGAGTTTGCAAAAGATGCTTCACGCTAGAGACTGTACCTGCTGATGTTCCTGAGCTAGCGAACTTGAGATGGGATCTGTGGACACTGGAGACGCATCATGTGAGGTAGAAGATGCTGTGCTGGTTGGTGGGAGAATCACAAAGTCTTGCTGTCCAGAGGCACTAGTATTAAATGGATTTGTTCTTATCTGATCTTCCTGGGTAATTACAGGCTGCTGGCCAAGAATCAGAAATACCAGGTCCTCCTTTTCACGACACAGCTCTGTGGAAATCTCACGGAGTGCCAAATAGTCTCGCAGATCCTTCACCTTCATCTTGATCAACTCTTCCCGCTGAAAAGCTGTGGCTCGGAAACGCTGGCATAGATGGCAGAGAAGGGGACCACCTTCGGGCTGGTTTGAGCAGGACGTACAAAAATTCTTCTTGCAGTCCAAGCAGATGTGCTGGTAAAGAGAAGGGAACAGAATCAAACCCATCCACCATGCCCTGCAACAGAGGTGCACCACAACCTCAGGCAGTGTTCCCTACCACCTGGAAGCCGAAGTCTTAACCTCTGTTTACACATAATCAAAACCTTTTACTTTATGAAAAAGTGCGAAGTATGTCACTCATGTGTTCCTAGATGAGGAAAAGGATTGATCCCATGAGCAGATCACAAGATTCCTCACATTTCTTAGAAAAGCACTATTTACGCTCCATTTACCCAGAATGAAATATTACATTCTTAGATAATTCCCTCAAATGACAGGAATTTTCTGCACCTTATTCTGGACCTGTTCATCCAGTTTAAACCACAGATGAAATCAGGAGATATCTATGAGGCAGCAGACTTTCAAGTAAATTACAGCTAGCTGTTCATTGCTTTAGAAAGCAATTAAATATTGCTCTGTGCATTAAGAAAGCTCTAGCAGTGGAGGGAACTACCTAAAAACATTTCTCTGTTTCATAAATTTAATACTTGCTACAAGCGACTTCCCCCCCCCTTTTTTTTCCCCTTCCAATTTGTTACAATCACCAAATTAATCATTTTTCACCATAAGAGGAAAAGGAAACAGCAAGGCTCACAGTGTCTGACAGACAAAGAATTCAACATTTATTTACGCAACAAAAATAGCCAGCTTATTTTGAAAGTAATACACACACTGTGTGCCAGTTAGGTGCTAGACAGAAAGTGTTGGAAGTTTTGGAAATACTGGGCCCCAGATGTTGAAAAACTTTACAGATTAAATTCTGGTTTTTAATGTTTATATTTTATACTGTTCTGGTCTTGTCACACAGGGCTCGATTTTCAGCAGTTCCAAGCACTCACAGTCCATGTTGACTTCTGCAGAAACTTGACTGTTCAACACTTTGGAAAGTCAAATTCTATATTTTCCAATAGGAATAGCAGCAGAACAGCCGCATTATGAGCCTTTTAAAAAGTCCTGAGGGAAGAAGGAACTAGTTTCAGTGCTGGTTAAAAATGTTAATTCACAGTCTCAGAGAAGACAAGCATCTCTCTGAAATCCTGACACCCTGACCCTTCAGAGCTATGCAAGGAAAAATACACATGCAGTGTTAGAGAAGCAACAAATACAAACTCAGAGACAAAAAAAAAAATGGTTTAATGAAGTGCTTCTAGTGATTAAAGGACATTTTTAACTTCACAGTTCAAAGAAAGCAGATGTTTCTTATGTTTTAAAAGGTGTAAATATACTACTTGCTTACATAAGCTCCTTCTGATCCCCTTTACAGCCCCCTTGCCCCACAGCCCCCTTTACAATTATAACCGACAGACTTCTCATTTAGACCCTGTAATAGACTTATAATGACAGTTAGTGGAAAGAATCCCAATTTCCTGCCTGAGCATTTTAAGACATGAACATTTTTACCACAGAGAGAATCTCTGGTCATGCAAACTTGAAACCTCATCTCAAAATTGCTGTTCAGGGGCCTGCCAAGTAAAAGTGACTTTCATCTAGACAGGAAGGGCAATTTCCACATACCATCCAGTTTTGAGAGGCGTTCTTTAACTTGGTCAATATAAAAACCATTAGTAACTGACTTTTTTTTTGATCGTACGATTCCAGGAGCAATCCAGTTCCTTGGAAAATTTTCAGGGCAGAGACAGGAACTACTGGTTGTGCATGTGTCTAGAGCAGGGGAACAAACCCTCCACAAAGGCAGAGTGATGGAAAATAACCCCGTCAACAACAGCTTCCCTCTCTCAATCACTCATCTCTGACGGGGGAGCAATCAGAAGAACTGAGGAGAAAAAAAAAACCCCAAACCAAAACCCAAACAACCCTGCTTTACTCTGGCAGGGGCAAGCCTTCCCCGTGCTCTGCAGACTGCCAGACTGGCTCCAAAGGGACCCACTGTAAGGCCAAGGACCTTCCAGCCAGAAAACCCCTACTTGAGTATTGACATGTTTAGGTATCAAGTAAGCGAGCACAGTACAAGGGCTGCACTATCCAACATGTTTTTTGCAAGCAATTAACAGTAATAACATGAGTCTGCCTTAGTTATCAAATGATACATTTGAGAAGTCAAAATAAAACCAGGCATGTCTCTGGCTTATCAGTTCACCGCTAGGATTCATCTCCAGACAAAAAAAATTCCCCAGCCTGTATCTGAGCATCAAGTATTTAAACACACACAGCAGCTGTTTGCTGCATCTCAGTATTAAGCAGCTTTTACAGCTCCAGTGTATTTGTTAAACTCTGACTGAAAGAGCAATGATTGAAGACACCGGTCTCTTCAGAATGATTAGTTTCAAATGTTGTTGTAAATTAAAACCTCTTATTAAAAGGTCAGACTACTTCTGAATGATGCTTATTAACTAGTAGCACAGTCACAGAATGGTCAAACAGAAGTGAAATACTTTAAATCAAAAGTCTGTGCGGAATAGAAGCTGATCCTGGTTGGTTGCTCTAACAGCTAGTCTCCCAGAGATACTAGGATGGGGCTTTAATACACTTGGCTCTTCTCTATATGCAGGATAAAATGAAGAAATGCCAACATTCAGGCTTTCACTACAGCTACTGTTGTTCAGGGTTATTTCGGTTTTGGTTGTTTTTTTATTCTTGCACTCTAGCTTGCCAGGAGCTTCTTCTGTAAGTATGCAAAGAAAAGCATCTTCCTGAAAATGTCAGCCAATTTAAGGCACTGAAATCAGAAAATGGGGAAAAAAGGAATAACAATCTGAGATATCCACCAAGAATGCCTGCCATAGTTTTCTATCGGCAGAGAGGGAAATGAAGAATACTTGTTTTAAATTTAAAAGATTTTGTGGAATCAGTTTGCTGCAGAAAACCAAGATCAAAAAAGTAATCTAAGAGATGGAAAACACCAAAAAATCTCAGAGATTTTTGCTACTACAAGTAAATTTTACATCCTTTAAAGATGCTCCAACAGTTAAAAGCATCTTGTAAACACATGCTCCATTTAAACCTCACCTAATCCTTTTAGTAGGTGCCATGTTATGTGAAAATCAAAATACAATACAGTAACAGATCAAGTACCTAAGATACCATCATTCTACCTTTTTTGGGTTTTTTGTTGGTTTTGTTTGGTTGAGTTTTTTTAAAGCAATTTAGGTTATCCTTATGGTCTCCAGTGCAGAAGGAATTAATTTTTATCTGTTGTACTTTAGCGTAAACATTAACTGGACACTAGAGTTCAAAGGTATTGAAAGGCATGTCTTGGGACAAAATACAGAGTTTTCAGTGCTCTTGTTGCAGCAAAGTGAGATTTCATATACTTCTCGGTCCATATCAACAGAATTAAAGAATTAATAGGGCTTACAAACACGTCAGTGTTTTATAAGTTGCGTACTCAAGTTCTTTATCTCAAATTCTTTTCTGGAGACCAAGGACTGACAGATGTTCTTGTAGACCTTCTCACAGTTATTTAAGCTTTGCCACCTGTAGCCACCTAGCTCAAGTCAGTCCCAGAGATTACTGCTCAGTAGTTGTGGTGGCAGAAGGAAGGTTTAGGAGCCCCCCTTCACAATACAGAATATAAACCTCAAACTCAGTTTCGTTGATAGTCTGCACTGAAGAGGAGCGGCTGAGACACAAGCACACATTGTACTCTGCTGCCCCAGTTACGCTGACAGCCAACTCCAGCGGAAAAACAGGAAAGCGTGCCGGGGGCAGAAACCTCTTAAATTGCTTCAGCAGATCCTCTACAGTCTCCACACCTAACCTAAATCAGTCTCAGTCAGTATGTTTGCACATATCTGGAGTGGTACTGATGACTCTTATACAAGAGATTGCTTTGAAGACAGCTTATATTAGAACATATATTTCAAAAGATAGGAAATATCTTTTCCTGGGAAATATCCCAGGAACAATGGAACCATAGTTCTAGCACTGCTACTGTATAATCCATACTTCACTGGGTGAATTGTTTTCATTTCAAAAGCAGAATCTTCTTCATCCGCTATTTGCTACTCTGCAGAATAGTAAGCACTGGATCCAGAACAATTCTTTCCGCAAGTGTTTGTGAAGACACATCACATTAATGAGGACAATGTTAAAGACAACCCTGTGGAGTCGTGTGCAGTGACTGCACCATTCCAGTTGACTCAGAATCTGCCTACTGTCAGAAAAAGTCTAAGCATACTTACATACCCAAAATATATTCCATATATACCCAACCCCCAAAATATATTACCAAAATTTAAATTTCTAATGATTTCTGGAGCAATAACATTTGCCAGTGCAAAAACGCATAAACATCCCCATCATTCTGTGAGTAGAAAGCAACAGCTCTGCTGAGACTTACCATTTCTCAGCTATGTGCCAGCACGCATGAATAAAAAGGTGCATGAAAGTCAAATCAATTTATGAATTTCCCCATCTAATCTAAAAGGGCCATGGCCAAAATTCACCATAACTTTTAAGTTCTCACATTCTTAAGTTCAGTAACATGCTATATATAAGACACTTCTTAAGCCACAGAGTTTGGACTCTGAACAACTCTTCTCACTAAACCATTTTTCAAGCAGCATTATAAGAACCACCATGCCCAAATAACGTCCCAGACAGGGTTTGCTAATTAAAAATCTTGCGGCAACAATTGTTTTGGCATCTATATGCTCACAAATAAAGTTTACAAACAAGATAGAATGGATTTGGTCTTTTTTTTTTTTTTTTCTCTCTCTCATGAAGCTTCAGCAATTCAACACACAACCTCAATAAACTTACATGGCCTTTTAGGTTGAGCAACAATAGTTTGGAAAAGATTGTCCTTTACTCAAAGCACAGATTGCTAAACTTCTTGACAAATTTTTTTCTTTTTTTTAAGGGCATGTTTTTAAATAACAAATTTAAAAACTCATGCTGAAGTTAATGCTCCTTTAAATGATTATAAGCAGTTTGGCTTTCTGTTTTCAGCGCCTGGGAAAGCCAAGTCTGCTGAAGGTTAACTACCACATTTCCAGTCATCTTGAACTACGTCTCCTAATTGCGCAAGAATGACTAAAGACATAGAAGCAAAGGCAAGCTGTCTTTTCCCATATGGTATGTCCTCAAATCAGAGGCCTCTAACATGCGCCCATTTCCCTTCAAACTGGCTCTTTGCAATGAAATGGAAGCCAGATGGCACGCTGCAGTCAAACTGAACACTGCCCCAATCAGCAGCAGTGAGATGTTCACGACTCACCTTCCTAGAGGAGCTGTCGAAGTGCACGCCACAGGCTTTGCAGCTCTGTTCAGAGGCGGTGGGAGACGGGTAGGAGCTGTACCCAGGGTTGGAATAGGCTTGGGCTCTGGCTCCCTGCTGCGGCTGTGCCTGCATCTCTTCAGGTGAGCCATCCAGACAAAACCAGTTACAACAGCTTGCCCACATAGTAACTGAAAGTAGGAGAGATACACATTAGAAATAACATGGGAAACAATCTGTCAGCTGAAGTGAGAACAAAGCATAAAACGTGTGTTTAATTTTCCCACCAGCAATTCATTTTTGACAGTGTGCTTGTAAGTTTGGATCTTTCCTTTGCACATGCAAAAACCACACACCCAGTCCAGCACAGTATGCCTTTTCTGAGAAAGGACAAATAAAGTTCAGGATAGTTATTACCAGAATTTCTTAGAGTTAAGAGATTACAGCAAAGAGAAGATAAATTTTATGTTCCAGTTGGCCGTATGAGACTCTATGATCAAGTTTGCTGTAACCGGCTGTCTTTATTCCATGTGAGGCGTAATACGCCCACTTTGGTTTTTGTGCATTGGAAAAAGCAAACAGAAGCTTAAATTATGTCTCATACATTATTTAAACGAAATCAGCACCAAGATCATAGATTGCTATTCTTCATTTTTATTTTAAATCTCTCTGCCAATTTACAGCTACAGATCTAAAAAGATAAAAGACAAGGACAGCGGAGCCTCTGATTTAACATATGCCAGTTCTCAACTGAATTTGCAGCATTACAAGGCCAAATCATCCCACAGCGAGTAAAGGTCAGTAACTTAAGAAAAATCAAATATTAGCTTCCGGTATCTTACTTGGGAAAACAATTTAAGCTAAGACACATAATCATTTGCTTATTTTGTTTTGCAAGCCAAACAATGATTGAGATAGATATATATGTATGTATAAATATACACACACACTTACCTAAAATCCTAACAGTCCAGTGCAAAATGCACAGTTTTGGAGTTTTCTAAGACCACCCATGTAGAAGTATTCCCGAAACACACTGCTATAAACTTGCTTTTGGGAGTTTACAAAGAAATCTGAATTTATCTGGGCATTCAGTTTCTAGAGCATACACCATGTGTCATCACTTACTGCTAAACAGAATACAAATTGCCTCCTCTGCATTTCTGCATTCACACTGTAGTTCCTGGGCTGTGTTTCTTTTATCACTTAAAAATCAGGTCCATCACTGATGGTGTTCAGCAACTGCTTGATTTTATAAACTTCTGGAAATAAATCATCTCTCAGCTACACAGCCAATTCATTTCTTTCACATCAGTAAGTGTTGCCACTGTAAAACTCCAGATTCCCAAGGGAAGGAGGCTGGTATGAGTCCTAAAGGTTATTTCGTATAATACACCAACATGCTGTTCTGTTGATTTTTTTTTTTTTAAAGCTCTGTTAAGTTTTTTGGATTGATATACTTGAATTGGGACGCTTTTGCGGTTTGGTGCAGTTCCAGTATCTGTAGCTTTAGTGGCATCTTTAATCCTTGCAAAATCTAGCTGAATTTGGCTCGTCAAAGTTCCTGCTGTCACTGCGGTGGACATATGCCTTTCAAAATCCACAATGGTGAGCTTACCAATGAACTCTACCCTGCAGGCTCTGCAGATTTTAATGTTTAAGTGAAAATCTACAGATTCATGACATGATAAACAATTCTTAGTGTAACTGATGTGCACAATGCTGCTAGACTGGCAACTAGATCTCTAATAACAGAACAGTAAGAGACAAAAAGGAGCAGCAGCTGGCTGCCAAAAAGACAGGGATGACCAAAGGCACAGCAGGGACACACAGGGCACAAGACTCTTATTACCTGTTGTCAGAAGACAATTTTAAGTTTAAGCACAGTTATTATTTATAGGCATAAACGAGGATCAATGAAAAACAGTTCAAGTTCTTACTGACACACATGGATCTGAAGCCCGAAACCATTAATGGCATAACTGGAGTGTCTTAGCCTAACATTGCGTTTCATGAGCCACAGTACTCCTCCTGTATAAGCAGGGGTAATTATCCCTTAATAAATACACGGAGAGAAGCACTCCATGAACAGATATAATGTGGCAACCATTTGTATTAGCTCTGCACTGCAATCAAAACACATGCTTTAGATATTTACATTAAAAATCCAATTACTCTTTTTTATTTCTGCACATTAATTTTCAAGCAATCAGTCCCACTCAGAAGTTAACACATCCTTTCTATTGCAAAAATACCAAAATTTTATTTTAAACTATGCTGTTTGGAGGTTTAATTTGTTCCTAGGAATTGCAACTCTAAACACCACGGAAGCTGCACAGCGAAACAAGCATTTACAACCTCCACGGCAGTGGAAAAGTGCATCCACAGTCAGTTCTCTCCCTGTTTCAAGGACCCCTGCAAACCAAAGGCCACCCACGATAATGGAATACACAAATGCTACTGCCTGCCCCAAAAACTTTGTTTTGCTAAAAAAGACAGCCCTCTAATTCACTCTGGAACATTGCAACATGTCAAATGCTGGGAAGAAAAACACAAGGGAGTGCACAAACCAGGATAAAATAAGACAGAACTCAGCATTCAGCTGGAGTTGTAGTTTCGTGTAATTGCCAGGAAATGAAAAGATTGACAAAAGGCTCAGATGTTGCTTTAGAAGAACCTTAATCCTGCTCAACTACAAAAGCATGGAAGGGACACATCCATAAACAAACAACAAATAACCAGGACTGTCCTCTGATCCGTAACATTTTTCCAAAGATATCTCCCACCTGCAAGAGAAAGGAGCACATAGAAACACAACAGCCATTCCTACAACATGGGCATGCTACTTCAGCCTGTGCCAGTGTATGTCAGGTTTTAATTACTTAAGGACCTCTATATATAGGTGTAAGTTTAAGTTAGGGCTTGTCTACGTGCAGCATTTACATTGATAAAGATGCTTCACTGAAAACCGCTTCGTGCTGATGGTTGATAGCCGCACAGAAACGGACAGCGCTCACTTCGCTATCAGCTCCTCCCGAGCACATACTTTGCACCTTGAGCAGGCATCCCACGCTGCTTTTGTGCTGCTGTCAGCTCATACACAAAGTGGGATTCTCCTCCAGGCACAGCAAGATACATGTGCCAGCCAGCAACCATCATCTCTCAACACAGCGTACAGGTCGGGATCAACACCTGGGCGATGCCACAGCCTGCTCCAGCTGCAGCTTAGACTGCTCCAAGTGCAAGAAAAGGAGCTCACAAACATTTCCACCTCTGCCCGTACAGTGGCCATCACGTTCTGCATCTCAGTCAACATTGCCCCAACTGATTTTGTAGATATCTGCTACCATTTCCAAATTGCCAGGAGACCACAATGGCTGAAAAGCAAGAATTATACTGTCGATTCCTGGAACATGCACTGGTTTCTACACTGGAACTTAAAATTCTGCCACCAGCTAGGCGAAGCTTTGCTAACTGATGGCTACACTAAGAAGCAGACATGACTGAGGCTTAAGATACTAAAATGTCTCTGTATCTGCCTACAGCTGCACTGAGATGATGACAAGGAATGCAGGTAAGATTCAGCAGCTGCTTCAAGAAGGATATTTCCTTTGTTCTGCACAGGATCAATTCTAGACCTGAGGAAATAAAACACTGCTGGTGGGAGACGACAGGCAAGCAGCATTTCACAGTGACATTTCAGGATGGCAGCTTCCTAGATATCTCCACAATGTTTGCTACAGCCTAATTATTCCCTTATTTATTTTATTACCCATTCAGAGAGATGCAGTCAGTACCATCCAGAAATGGGTAATTTCCATAAGCAATCCTTTGATGGATAGGTTGTTGGTACAGATGCGGCAGAGTTTGAGCATCATAACTAGAAAGCACTGCCCTGTGTAAAGCCTGTCAATCCTTTGCAGATGAATGGCTGGTTTGCATGCAAGGAGCTCCCCAATTACACTGAAGCGAAAAATAAATGCCCAGCCAAAAAATTTACCAGCAGAAAGAGCTGCTGCTTTGTTGTGCTCCAGGGCTTGGTAAATACTTACAGTAACCTAATATGAACACGTTGGTTTGGAAAAGTTAATGACACCATAGATTTCAGGAATTCTCAAGCAACTTCATGAATAAAAGATGTTGACTTACTGGCATGACTAACGTTACAGGCATTACTGATATCAGCAGTCTTCATTATTCGTGGACATGATGCTCATACTGGCCAACGGGAGCCACAGGATATAACTGTTTTAACTACAGAGCTGAGCATGTTTTTGGGAAAGTGAAAGCCAAATGGCAGGCACTCAACAGATGAGTTCTGGCAGCCAAAAAGTAACTGCCCTAAATCGTAACTGCATGTTGTGCTTGGAGCATCTGCAAGAGCAAAGGGAGAAGGAGCTTCACCAAGGGTGGAGATGCAAGATCAAACACTCTATCCTGGACCTGCAAACACCTCCACCCACATGGCAATCATCAGGCTGGGCTTCTTTTTGGGAGAGGAGGAATGTTTTATCTTGAGTCTATTCAAGGAAAAGTCAGAAGAAATTCAGTAAATATTGGATGAGGCAGGGAGTTGCTTGCCATGGTCTGTAGGCAAAGCAGTGCTAGCACTCTATCACGCTCTGCTGGACTGCTTTTGGTTTTGTTTTTTCAGTATGAAGCTCTGAATGCTGTGATTCCCTTCACTGATTTTAAACAGAAGAGTGAAATTCATTTCACCACCTGTTCATCATCATGAGTTTTGTATAAATTTGCAAGCATGATTTAATTCTGGAGGAAATATCAGTGATGTCAACGTTTTCCTCCCATACACTGTTGAAGATAGCATTCATAATGCAAGCCTGGATTTTCATACTTTCCATCTTTGTTAAAAAAGTGTTTGAACTCAGGTTCTCACTATATATGCAATATTAACGCCATAACCCTGCTAGCTGGAGTATCGGAGATTGCAGTCTACATACAGGATTTATTACACATGCTTTGTGGATTTCTATAAAAGGGTAGGCTTTGGCAGTATAGGAAAATGGTGGTTTATGATTTAACATAAAATTTCCCTTTATTTTCCCAAGAGTGCAAACAATAAGGGAGTAGAACAAACAAAAGGAATATCTCTCAATCATCAAGCTTTTGGCTCTGCATAATAAAGCTCTCGATGACTGCATCTGGGTTCTTTTTTGACTGCTCAAGA